GATCAGCACAGGCCCTGCCTGATGATGGATTTGTCCTGGAGAAAAGAAGGCTCAGGGGGACCTTGCCACACTCTCCAGCTACCTGGAAGGAGGTTGTAGTGAGGGCTCAGGCTTTTCTCCCAGGGAATGAGAGGAAATGGCCTCAAGGGGAGGTTGAGATTGAGTGTTAGGAAAAATTTCTCATGGAAAGAGCTGTCCAGCCCTGGCACAGCTGCCCAGGGCAGTGGTGGAGTCCCCATCCCTGGAAGTGTTCAAAAGACACGTGGATGTGGCACTTGAGGACACTTAGTGGTGACCATGGTGGCCGTGCTGGTTGATGGTTGGACTTGACAACCTTTAGGGTCTTCTCCAACCTGAGCAATTCTGTGATTTGATGACTCTGTGATCTCATGTTCTCACTGCTATGAGTTACAAAGAATGAATAATTCAACATTCATACTAGAAAGTGTGGATTTGGCTCTAGGCAGTGATTGTTTTCTCTCAGGTAGAGGCACCATCTCTTGGCATTAACCCGTGGACATTTCAATCCATGGGTGCTGAAAGCACTCTCAGAAAGCCTGGGAGAGAAATGGTGCATTCAGTGTGTTAAAACTCTGAGATCCTGGTAGAGCATTTGTTTAAAACAAATGGATTTAAAACATGGATTTCTTTTCTTGCCTATAGAGGAGAAATTTGCTGTGCTGACACCGAGCCATGGAATGGTTTGGGTTGGGAGGGACCTCAAAGCTCATCCCATCCCACCCCTGCCATGGGCAGGGACACCTTCCACCATCCCAGGCTGCTCCAAGCCCTGCCCAACCCAGCCTTGGACACTTCCAGGGATCCAAGCCACAGCTTCTCTGGACAACACACCTCTGGGAGAAGGGATGGGTGGTCCAGCGAGGTTGCTGGGGTTTGTATCCTGTTGGCAGAGCAGACCTGGATGTGCAAAGCCGTGGGAGGGAGGTTTTGGGCCTGGCCAGCCCCAGATCTTACCTGCATAGGCCAGGAGAGCCGACAGGATCAGCAGCAGGACCCCGAGAGCTGTGCTGGGGATCAGCGGCACGGCTCGGGGGGAGCTGTAGAAATGCACAGCCAGCAGCAGAGATCCTGCAGGACACACAGGGGGAAAGCACAAAGAGCTTGTAAACCCGGCCCAAAAACCTGGAGAGGATCAGGGTGGACAGGGCAGGGAACAGAGGGAAAATAACAGCGCAAGATCTGCAAAAAGGAAAGCCTAAAGAGCTGGGGGAGTGAGCCTGACTCGGTTTGTGCCCAAGGTCTTGCTCCTTTCTGGGTGCCTGGTTTGAAAAAGCCTGGAATGAATCACGTGAGGTTGCCCAGAGAGGTTGTGGGTGCCCCATCCCATCAAGGTCAGGTTGGATGGGCTTTGGAGCTGAGTCGAGGGCAACGTTGGGATGGAACTGGATCATCTTTAGGGTCCCTTCCAACCCAACCCAACCCACGCTGGGAATGTATGAAAGAGTTTGAAAGTTGTCAAATAAAGGTAAAAACCCGCAATTCCAGATCCACAAGAGGCAGACAGACACACACACCCTGCAGCTGATCCCTCCAGCCTCGTACTGATGGAAAACCAGCCAAAAAAATCCGGGAAGATGGGACACAAAGAAGGAGCAAGCGAGAGGGAGCAACACAGAAAACAGAGCAGCAGGGAGAAGGGCTGGAAAAGGAAAGGGGAGGAAACTGCATCCAAAGCGAGATGATTTACTACAGTGACTATGAAAAAGTTTGGATTTGCTTCCCACCCAGCGTGGAACGAGTACAAAACTTCGGGCCAGCCCTCGGGAGCCAACACAAATATTTTGTTGGCCGCCGAAGCAGGCGCAGGGATCGAAAAGCTTTCCCCGGGCAGAGAAGCCTGCGGATAAACAGCCTCTTTAACCCCCTCGGAAAAGGGGGGGTGTCCCGGTGTCCCAAGCCCGTGTCCCGTGCCAGGAGCGGTCCCTACCTGCGGAAATTGCCAGGAGCCCGATGCAGGAATGCAGTGAGTCAGCCCCGCTGCCGCCCATCCCTGCGCGCTGCAGTCCCTGCACTGCTGCCTCTCTTTCCTCCCATGCTCTTTATACCCAAAGCATCGCCGCTGCCGCCGGTCCTCCCTGCTCTCCACCCCTTTTCCCTACAAACCTCTTCTGTTCCTGCTGCTCTCTGCATGCGGGAGGAAATGCAAATGAGCTCCTGGCTGCGGTAAATTTGGGGCTGTGAGTCAGCGTGGGCTGCTGGTGGCTCCCTCCAGGGGCCTCTTAAATTTACTGTTGATTAACCCTTGTTCAAAAAGACACTTGAAAAATAAGGCTGAGGGTTTGTTGCTCTTGCTGCCTCTTTTATTTGCTCCTGCCAGTGAGGAAATTACACTGGTTAAAATGAAGGTTTTTGCAAGCATCCACCTCGATGGAGCAAACAAACCCTCTGCAAGCCCAGCAGCTCCTCGGGGACCACTTGTTTCTCCTCACACTGACCACGGGCCTGCTGTTTGTCCCTGTCACAGCTCTGAATGCCTGGCACCAGCCCCCTGAGCTGGGCAGACTCAGTGCCATCCCCTTAAAAGTGACTTCTGTCCGTCTGTGGCCCCACATCCAGCTCCTCCAGCCCAGAGGGGCAGTGCTGGATCCCCAGGTGGGGAGTGAGGGTCCAGCACTGCCAGGATTGTGTCCCAAAGGGGACACGAAGGACCTGTGGGCAGCTTCCTGCTGCTTCCCATGGGGAATGCGTGGGCATCGAGGTGTTTGTGGATGGAGGGGAGGCTGCAGGAGGCAGTGGGCACTGGCCTGGGGATGATGTTGGGCCATGGGTCGGGTGGGAACTGTCGGAGAAGTATTAATTTGTTCCTCTGTCGTGTTGTTTGTGGGGATGGAGCAGGGCAGGGACTGCTCCCCGGAGGGACCCAGCTCCAGCTAAAGCAAATCCCACTCTCCTGGCAAGACAAAAGGTGCAGAACAGCGTGCAGAGCTTCTTGGGCTGCCCAGGGACGGCTCCTCCAGCAGCCAGCTCCGATGTTCCCCTCAGCAGATCCTGCTCTGTGATCCCCCATAAATCCTGCTCCACCAGGGCTGGAGGACAGGAAAGCTGCTGGGAATGGGGCTGGGAGCTGCACTGCTCACAGTCAGGCCTGTGGGATCATCCAAGCAGTGCTGGAGCTGTGACAGCTCCAGAACAACCCCAGAACATCAGGTACTGTCAGAGGACCCTGTTCCTCCTGCCCCCGAGCCAGCTGGATCCCAGCCCTGCTCCCAGACTTTCCTGGAGTCTCTGTGCTCACCCTGCAGGAGGAGGGTCCCTTCCCACCCCTCCTCTCTACAACCCAAATGCAGATTAAATCCACTTGGTGACAGCAAAGCCCCCAACAATAAATGTGCACAGCCAAGGGCATTCCAGGCTGGAATAACCCAGCTGAGAAATGCCATTTATCCCTCATCCCCTCATTGCAGGGAGATCTCCAGGGCTGACAGGTCTGTTGGGACAGATGTTTTTCCAAGGGGGAGGAAACAAGCCTGGCTGGTCCAGTTGCACCAATTATCGCAGAAAGGGGAACCAGCCCAGCCAGTTTACAGCAGGCAGGGGTAACTGATGTGGTTTGCAGCAGGCAGGCTGTGGGAATCCTCAGCCTCTGGCCACTTTGTTCCGTGGCTAACAGGACTGCCCCCGAAGCAGCTGCAGGAAGGAGAAATCACCTGCTCAGGTGATTTCAGGTGAAAAACTCAGCTGTTTTTTCATGCAAGAGGAAATAATACACCCCTAAACCATAGTTAGGATACCTTAGACAGCAAAACAAACAGCAGGTTTTGGGTGGTTTTTTATGCCTATCTCGATTTAATTCCTGTTCTGGGTAGTAAAAGTAACTGAGAGGCACAGCCTGGGCTGGATTAGTGGGACTGCAAGGCCTTTGTCACACATTTCTTGTTCCTGCTCGTTCAGGTAGCAGCTGGGTGCCTGAAATCCCTCATTTGGGGAGAAACATGCCATAAATGAAGTCCCAAGCAGCAGCAGCCAGCCTCCTCCTCATCCTGCCCTGACTGAACACCCTGCCAAGCCACGAGTTCATTACCCACAGGATGCACTTCACGTCTCTCCCAAAAATGACAGAGCCCCAAGGAACGTGTGTTATAAATAACCCCAGAAAAACACCCTGCAGCCATGCTGTGGGAGTTTTTTGTTCTCTCAGCCCACACAGGGCACAGTTGTTTCAGCAGGGCCGGGCTGAAGCAGAGAGGAGCAGGATCAGCTCCATGTGAGCAGAGCCAGGGTGGGAGGAACGAGCTCCAGGGGCTGAACCAGGCTGAGCTCAGGGCTCCTCCAGAGCTCAGGGCTCCACCAGCTTCCCTGGAATTAAATAAATGGAGAGATGGTGCTGTTGATGAAGAATCCCAGTATTCCAGAGATCAAGAAGTTTTTGGAAGATGCTCTCAGGCACAGGGTGGGATTGTTGGGGCCAGGGTTAGACATTGTGGGGTCCCTTCCAACTCTATGACTTTATTAATTTCTAAACTCAGGGTGAGAAAGCTGGCAAAAAAACGCAGCAAAGTGTAAAATATCCACTTTTTGAGAGATGGGATCTGAGGGAAGGAACATTCAGGATCCGAAAAGGAAACGTTGGTGTTAAAAACCTGAAGCAGCCCGGGCAGGGTTCAAAGAATGGGGCACAGAGGGGAGAGCACTTGGTGAAATCCTGGCTCTGGGCAGGTTCCCTTCGCTACCATCTCCTGTGCAAAGGTTTTGGTTGCTTCAGTCTGAACTGGAGTGGAAAATCAACAGCCGAGGAGGAAAAACACAGCTGCTCTTGTGAGCAGGGCACGTCAGCCGTGGCTGCTCTGGGCACAGGGTGCTGCGAGGAAGATCTGCAAGGGAGCAGCCGGTCGAGGAAACAAATAATATTTACACACCCTGCCCGAGGAACGGGAAATAAAACCTCGTTGCCAGTAAGAAATTCAGCCCAACCCTCCCGACCCCACCTGCTCGGGGGAAGGGCTGGCGCTATAAAGGGCTGCGGGCAGCGAGCGGGGCTCACAGCGCCCGGGGCTCTCCAGGGAATCGCTCTGCTCCCGAGGGAACATGGCAAAGAGGGTGGCCGTGGTGCTGGCTGGCTGCGGGGTGTTCGATGGCAGCGAGATCCACGAGGCTTCGGCAGTGCTGGTGCATCTCAGCCGGGAGGGGGCTCAGGTAAGAGGCAGCGGCAGCATCCTTTACCCGGCTCCTTCCCCCGGCTCCTTCTCCCGTCTCCTTTACCCGGCTCCTTCCTCCGGCTCCTTTTCCCGGCTCCTTCCCCCGGCTCCTTCCCCCGGCTCCTTTTCCCGTCTCTCTTTCCCGTCTCCTTTACCCGTCTCCTTTTCCCGTCTCTCTTTCTCGTCTCCTTCTCCCGGCTCCTTTCCCCGTCTCCTTTTCCCGTCTCCTTCCTCCGGCTCCTTTTCCCGGCTCCTTTTCCCGGCTCCTTTTCCCGGCTCCTTTTCCCGGCTCCTCTCCTCCTCTCCGAGACAAACTCCCCCAAAACCAAGCAGCGGTGCCTGGAGTCTCTGGGAATGGAGAATTCCCCGCTCGGCTGGGCTGTACAAAGGGATTGGAGTATTGGGCTCTGTATCCGATGTATCCAAACTCTCCAAAAGACTTTCCCGGATGCCTTCTCTCTCTCGGCTTTTGGCTTGCACAGCTTCTTTTCTCTCCTGCTGTTTCTGTTTAAAAGGCAGTTTGGGCTCTTCGAAATTCAACTTTTTTAAAACCTTCAGAGTAGAAGTGAAAATCGAGAATCCCAGAATGGTTTGGGGTTGGGAAGGACTCGAAAAGGATGGAAAGCTGATCCATTCCCACCCCCTGCCCTGGGCAGGGACACCTTCCACCGTCCCGGGCTGCCCCCAGCCCAATCCAACCTGGAGACCAGACAGGGTTCGTGAGTTAAACTTCAGGGCTAAAATGGTGCAGCTGCTCTAAAAATCGGGAGAGCCGCTCCGTGGGACTGGGAAAGGAGGGAGGGAAAGGCTCTGGAACATCGAACTCATATGTGAACCTCCCTCGTGTCTGGGTGGGAGCCGCTCCCCTGGGAATGGGAATTGCTCTGCGGAGCACAGAGACACAGGTAGCCCTATGCCAGCCCCCCAAAATTCCGAACCATTCCAACCCTTCTCTGCTCGGCTCGTCGGGATGAGGCGTTTTCTCCGCTGTGGGTAATTTTGCCTTTTGCTGTCCCGGAGCTGCTGCAGTCGCTTCCCTCCTGCCGCATCCCAGCACTCTCGGAGCCCGTCCCTCCCTCATCCCTGGATCGGAGGGGGCCTCTAGTGGAGGAAACTCCACATCCCAATCCCTCCTTTTCTAAGGAAACAGAGCAGCCTCCAGTGTGGAATATTTCAGTTGGAATATTTTCAGTTGGAGCTCAGCACCTCTCTCTCCACGGGAAGCTGCCATGAGGTTGCCCCTCAACCTCCTTGTCTTCCCACCTGGATAATTCCAAAGTCCTCGGCTGCTCCTTCGCAGGACGTTCCTTCCAGCCCTGCCCTCCTCGGGACACCTTGGTGTTCCTTAAATCCTTCTTAAATTGTGGGGCCCAGGACTGCACAGGTGGTGCAGTCCCAAAATCTCTTCACCACCCTCCTCTCTTCATTTCTGCATTTGAGCTTGGAAGTGCTAAAGGAAGGGGAAGGGTTTTCCAGAAAAACTCTCTGGCTTTGGGAAAACAGCAGGTGGGGAGAGGAAACTCCAAGTGCTGTCCCAGTGGGAGATGGGGTGGGACAGCAGCTCTCTCTGGGTGGCAAGAGGGATTTATTGGGATATGGGTGGACTCTTCAGCCCCACAGACAAGCAGCTCTGGGCACAAATTACCAAAAGTTTCCTTCCTCCCTTCCCTCCTTTTTCCATGCCAGCTCTTCCCCAAGAAATCCCCTCAGCATTCCCAGGTCCATCCATCATTCCTGAAGGATAACAGCCCTTTTCCCTCACTCCAGGCCGAGGTTTATGCCCCCAACATCCCCCAGATGCACGTGGTGGACCACGTGAAGGGACAGCCGACGCAGGAGCAGCGCAATGTCCTGGTGGAAAGCGCCAGGATAGCCAGGGGCAACGTCAAGGACCTGGCCACGCTGGATGTCAAGGGGCTGGATGCCCTCATCATTCCAGGTGGGATGGTGTGGGGTCTGCCTGTCCACAGTTTAGTTATTCCATAGGTCTGGAACGCCATGGGAGTCGTGGACAGGCTGGAGCAGGGCTCGGAAGGAGAGCCAATTTTAATTCTTTTATTGACCTTGGACAAATGCTGCCAAGCATCCGACCCACCTGGCAAAAACCCTGCCCTGGGTGTAAAAATCTCCAGCCTGAACTGCTTCTCTTTCCTCAGGTGGCTTCGGGGTGGCAAAGAACTTGAGCACTTGGGCCACCCAGGGCAAGAACTGCAGCATCTCCAAGGAGGTGGAGGGCGCGCTGAGGGCGTTCCACGCTGCCCGCAAACCCATCGGGCTCTGCTGCATCTCCCCGGTGCTGGCAGCCAAAATGTTCCCGGGCTGCGAGGTGACCGTGGGGCACGACACGGAGTGTGAGCAGTAAGTGACCCAGGGAGGGGGTGACAGCCACGCCAGGGTGCCCACAACGGGCTGGCCAGGTGGTGGAAGTGTCACAAGGAGCTGAGCGTTAATTCGGAGAACTCGGCTTTGCCTTTGGCAACTCCAGCACTTCTGGGGACTTGACAGGGAAAAGCAGAAACTCTGGAAGGCTGATTTTATCATTTCTCAGCACGGCAGGAGGAGTGATGTAGCACCAGATCAATTTGCATTTCTGTGACTGGTTTCCACAACTCTGATGACTTTATTTTAAATTAATTTAAATGGAATTTATTGTTTTAGATTCAATATTTGCCTCCCTGATTCCCAGGGTAGGCAAAACCTTTGCTGACCCCAAGTTAAGGGGATCCAAGGCAGGATCAGGATGGTTACCCAAGGCTTGGGGTGTTAACAGAGGGAGGGACTGAAACTGTCTTCAGTCCCACAGGGAAGCTGTGACTGGATTCTCCCAAGGGCAGGCGAGGAATGTCAATGGCTTTTATAAGGAAGGAGTTTTTTCACTGATTTGGAGGAAGCTGGTGAAAAAAACCCACCCCAAACCTAAATCTAATTGTCGTTCAGAGCAGCTGTGGCTGCTCCATCCCTGGCAGTGTCCCAGGCCAGGCTGGACAGGGCTCTTGGAGCAGCCTGGGGCAGTGGGAGGTGTCCCTGCCATGGCAGGGGTGGCACTGGATGGATTTTGCGGTCCCTTTTCACCCAAACCATCCCAGGCCTCTATAAACAACACCGGAGTGGTACTGGAATTAGGTAGTGGAACATCCAAAGTGGAACTCCAGGTCTCATTTTGGCTTTACCTCAGATTTGCAACTCATTTGAGGAGGATGTTTTTGTTGTCTACTCCTGGAGAAACTCCTCGAGCAGGGAGAGATTTGGATCCTACCGGGCAGGTTTTATGCAGCGACCACAGAATTCTCCCTCTGGCCCTTCCCCAATCCCACTGCAGGTTTTTATTCCCCTTGCAGGTGGCCTTACGCCAAGACAGCTGAGGCCATGAAGGAGCTGGGCTGCAGGCACGTGAACAGCAAGGTCACCGAGGTGCACGTGGACACCAGGAACCGGCTGGTGAGCACCAGCGCCTTCATGTGCAACGCCCCCATCCACGACGTCCACGACGGCATCGGGAAAATGGTGCGGGAAGTGCTCAGGCTGGCCTGAACTCCCCCAGGCACACGGCTCCTCTGTGGATGACATCCTTCCCACGGCAGCAGGGAAAGGGACAGCCAGCAGCTCTGTCCCCACACCTCTGGTGGCTGCTGAGGAGGGAGAGCCTTGCAGAAGTTGTGTTCTGCTGAGGGCACATCACCCATTGGTGGGAGCTGGCATGGGATCATGGGATCATGGAATGGTTTGGGTTGGGAGGGACCTTAAAGCTCATCTTGTTCCAATCTCCTCCCGTGGGCAGGGACATCTTCCCCTATCCCCGGGTGCTCCAAGCTGGCCTGGGACACTTCCAGGGGTCCAGGGGCAACCACAGCTTCTCTGGGTACCTGTGCCAGGGCCTGCCCACCCTGCCAGGGAGGAATTCCATCCCAATATTCCACCTATCCCTGCCCTCCCTCAGCTCGAGGCCAGGCTCCCACAGAGCTCAGGTTCAGCTGCTCCCCAGCCCCTCCCTCGGTGAATTGTGGCCAAAGGAAGGAACCCACTCCTGCTACCAAATAAAACCTGATGCTTCTACTGAGTTCTGAGCTCTGCCTCCGTCTCTGCCGTTCCCTCTGGATCAGCACAAGCTCTGGGGCAGTTGGGAAAATGATCCAGGAGGAAATGCCCAGCACAGCTCCCCTCGTTTTGCTGGGAGTGGAGAGAGCCCAGACTGGAGCAGGAACGTGACACTGGTGAGAGCAGGAGCAGCCCCGCATCACCGGCCAGCTCTGGTGGCAAGAGGTGAAACTCTCCTCCTGCATTAACAGAACCAGAGAATTCCAGGTTGGAAGGAGCTCAAGGCTCACCTGGTCCAACCTTTCTCAGTAAAAATGCTGTCCCAGCAGCCTGTCCTGGTGGATCCCAAATGTCCAAACCTGGGGAATCCACCACTTCCAACAGCTGATTTCTCATGGTGAAAAACTCTGCTCTGGTGCCCATTCAGGATCCTCCCAGGAATAATGCAGATTATCCCTTGTCCTTTCCATAATTCCTCATAAAAAGGGATTTTCGTCCCCCTTTACAGCCACCCTTCAAATACCAAACATGGTGATGAGATCTCCTCTAAATCCGAGTTTCCCAAGGCTGAACGAGCTCAGTTCTCTCAGCCTTTCCTCACATGGGAGCTTCCCATCTTTGTGGCCTTCCTCTGGATCCTCTCCAGCCTGGCCACATCTGTTTTTGGCAAAGTGGGGCTCAAAAAACTCTTTCCACAACTCTGATGGCTTAAAATAAGACTTTATTAGAAATCCAATCCCATCTGCAGCCTCTGAACATTCCTGCAAGCACAGAGGTCTCGGCAGCAGCACTGGAAATTTCCTTCTGCTACGATTTCTTTAGCCATGTGAACTGAACACAAGGTAAATTGCAGCAGTTTATTTTTACTTTGAGTTTAAAGAATGTCCCAAAAAAGGGGGGGAAGGGTTGATCCCCATAAAACAGGTTCTGAAAAGTTGGTCCCTGCAAATATGTCATAGAAAGAGTTCATTGTAGGGCCCAAACCAAGACATAAACCCAAAATAGATTTACACTGATCAACAGATTGACAATCTCTGGTTTGAGTCATCTCTTTACCAAACTGGAATCATTTGGACCCATTTGTTCAGTCAGAATTTGGTCCCAAAACTGTGATTTGTGTATTTAAAGCAGTGTAAACATCATAACCAGCAACCACGTTGCTGCCTGTAAACAGGGTGGTGCAAACTGCTCCCAAACACCTTTAAAACTTCCAACCAAAAAAAAATCCCCCACAAAAAACTTCAAACAGAAGTGACCTGTGTTTTCCTGCTGCCTCCAAAGGAATCGAGACACTACAAAAGCAAGGGAGGAATGAGTGCCAAGGAATAAATCCCACTGGGCTTCAGTAAAGGCTGGTCTTCTTCATGATCCTCAGGAATTCCTGCTCGCTCACTTCCCCATCCCCATCCCGATCTGCCTCGTCAATCATCTCCTGCAAGAGATTTGGGGCCAGCAGTCAGGTGTGGGTTTTATTGGGAATTACTGGATTCATGCAGAACTCCAGCCACTCTTTAGCTGTACTGGAGGGGGGAGTGTTGGTTGATTTCCTGAAATCTGTTCTGCTGGGTGTATTTATAGAGAAATCTGACCAGGAAATCCGATAGGAAAAGTCCAAAGTGCTTGGAGCAGAGTCCTGCAGAGCACTGCTGCTCCTCAGAACGGGATGATCCCATTCCTACACCCACAACCCATCCTTGAGCTCAAAACCCACAGATTCCAGAAATCCCTCCCTTCCTACCAGCTCCAGCACAGAGATCCCAAAACCACCAGGTCCAAACCTGCAGCTCTTCGTCTGTGAGGTTCTCCCCCAGCTCTTTAGCCACACGTTTGAGGTTTTTGAAAGAGATTTTTCCAGTTTCATCATCATCAAAGAGTTTGAAAGCTTTGAGAATCTCCTCTTTGGAATCTTTTTCGGCCTTAAGGAAGAAAGAACGAGTTTAGGGTAAAAACTGTGGTGTAGGTGATGCTTAAAATAAAGTTATAAAAGATCTGATAGACTGAGAAACCCTTGGGAACAAATAAAGGAGCCCAGCCAGCAGGAATTACACCTAAAAGATGAAAGGAGACAGAGACACAACCAGAATTCCAGGGATTTTTTTCTGTCCTTGCCAGGCAGATATCTCTGGGATTTCACTGTCAGGATCTTCTGCTATTAAATATCTGAGTTTTGAAAAGATTTTTTTCAAACCAGAGCTTTAATCTGTAAATTAGAATTTATAAATGAGCTGGTTTTCCATCTGTGAGAAGAACTTTTTTCCCTTTTTTCCAACACAAAAATCACCTCTGGTTGTTAAAGAAGCCTGTTAATGATTTTAATTTTTCCCTGAAAAATGAGAGAATCCAGGAAAGGGATTACCCCAACTTTTGTACATTTAATTCTTAAGATTAAAATAATTAAAATTGTGCTTTAACCTCCCTCCAAAGCCAAAAGGAGATAAAGACTCCTTATCCAACTTCAAAATTCCCTTTGTCTGGAGCTGTAAAACATCCATACCATTTTCTGTGACATCACTGCCAGGAAGTCACTGAAGCTGATTTTTCCTGTCCCGTCCTTATCAATGTCTGAGATCATTTTCTTGATCTCTTCTTTCTTAGGTTCAAACCCCAGGGCCCTCATGGCCACCTGGAAGGACAAAATCAGTTAGCAATTCAACAAAATCAGCACCAAAAACCACAGGAAAGGGGGGAAAAGTGAATTTTCTGCTAAAAATTCCACGTCTCCTGGAGAACAGGGGCAGGCTGACAGTGAGGCTGCTCTGCACTCACATCAGGATGCAATTCCTCTTCTGGAATTATCCCTCAGCTAATCCAGGAATTTCCTACATTTTCCCCACCTTGAACTGGTCAACCACAGGGAATTGAAACAAGTTTATTTTTCATTCTGGTGATAAAATTCTTGTTGGGAAAACATTTTCCTCCTTTGCTAAAGGGCCAGATAACAGCAACAACAACAACAACAATAATAATAATAATAATAATGATGATGATGATGATGAAGAAGCATTAAATCCTCAACAAGAGGGGAAACTCCCACACACACCTTTTAATGTGCACAATCCCTTTTTTTCAATGTTTTATGAACAGAGGAGGAGTTGGGACAGAAAGCACATGAGTTTTGGGCAGCCTGGCCCTAAACACACTGGATAAGAGCAGTAAAGAGCTGCAAATAAAGAGGAAACGGTGCTTTTTGCCCAGCAGGTTTTCCGCTGGAGGAAGGAGGGGTAAACCCAGGCAACTCCTGTGCTTTTTGCGGTTATTTTAGCATTCACGGCCCTGCTCCTTTATAAACTCAGTGACTTCCAGCCGCAGGGAAACCCCGACCTTCAGCTCCTTGACATCGATGCTGCCGCTGCCGTCGGTGTCGAAGAGCTCGAAGGCCTCGCGGATCTCCCGCTGCTGCTCCTCCGGCAGCTCCAGCTTGGGATTCGCCTTCTTCCTCTGCGCCGCGGCTGCCAGCGACGGCTTCTTATAGCCGGAGGCCTCGGCACGGTACAGCGGGGGTCAGGGCGGGGGGAACGGGGGACGCGGGGGGCTCAGCGCCCTCCATGCCCTGAGCCCCCCTCACAGCCCCTGAGCCCCCTCCCTGCCCCGAGCCCATCACTGCCATGAGCCCCCACCACTGCCCCTGAGCCCCCTCCCAGCTTCTGAGTGTCCTCAGCCCCCTCAGTGCCCTCACCGGCCCCTGACCGCTCCTGAGCCCCCTCACGGCCCCTCACGGCCGCCCTCACCATCCCGCCGGCCTCACGCCTGCCAGCCCCAATATCGAGCCCTCCCATTGGCTGTCGCCCCCACGCCGCTGCTATGGCAACGCGCGCTCCTATTGGCCGGCGTGACGGCGGAGGCAAAGGTGAATGAGCGCGTGGGAGAGGCTCCTCCTTCCTGCGGCGATTGGTCGGAGTGGAGAGAGGGGTTGGACCAATCAGCGAGCGGGAGCGCTCTGGCGCGATGCTCGCCCCAGGGAAAGAGGCGGGAAGGGGATGAGTGGGCGTGGTCTGGCGGGAAAGCGCGGCGATGATTGGTGAAAACGCAGCCAGGGGGCGTGTCCGGGGCGTGGTCTGGGCTCCCTGAGGGGCGGCGGTGAGAGGGGTCCGGGAAGGTCCTGGCAGCCGGGAGAAGGTGCTGGGAACTGCGGGGATCGGGCTGGGGCGGTGGGACAAGGCCTGGGCTCCGTGAGGAAGGGCCTGGGGGAATGCGGGGCAGGAGCTGGGGGCTGTGGAAACGCGCTGGGAGCAGGGCAGAAGGTGCTGGGGCCGTGCGGAGGGTCCTGGGGGCTGCGGGTGAGGCCCTAAAGGCCGTGGGGAAAAGGGTGGGGGGCTCTGGGATGGGGCTGAAAGGGCTGGGGGGGAACTGGAGGTGCAGCAGTTCCTAAAGTGTATTTTGGAGAGGGATGAGGTGCTGAGGGATAGGGGAGTGGAAGAGGGAACAGCTGCAGGAGGAACATGCTGTGCCCCTGATTTAAACCAGCTCGGATAAATCCCGCCTCTTCTTGGCTTTTTCCTTGCAATTTCAAAGGGGTTTCAGAAAAATCAGTGCCAAAGAGCCAGGCCAGCACCTGCAGTTGATGGTTTAGTTTGGAAGAACAGGGAGAATTAACTCCATCTCTTCATCCCTCATCAGCATAATGGCTTCAAACCTTGATTTCTGTAACTAGAAATGTGTTATTTTATTGGGAATAAAAGAAGGTTCTCCCTTTTCTCAAGGATTCTGGTGGACAGTGCCTCACCCAAGCCATGGCCACACGTCTCAGATCGGTGAGTTGGGGCCTCAAATGGTGCTTTGGGAAGTTTTGTCTTGCAGAAACAAGTTCATAAACATTCTCCACATCCCTGGGAAAGACACGAGGCTGTTCCTGCATTAATGATAATTCTGGGGAGAAAACATGATTTTCCAAGCTATTTTGGATAGGTTGAATTCAAACCTTAAAATCAATATAGGCATCTAGCTTGGCTTGCCATAAATATTATACTGTTCAATATCAAATTATAGAGAGTTTATAATAAAATTATGTCTAACTGTGGCTGCCCCTGGATCCCTGGGAGTGTCCAAGGCCAGGCTGGAATAGCAGCCTGGGACAGGGGAAGGTGTCCCTGCCCATGGAATAAAATGAGCTTTAAAATCCCTCTCAACCCAAAGCAGTCTGGGATTCTGGGATTGCTTTGGAGCCTCTGCAGTGCTCTGGGGTTCAGAGGCAGAGGGCAGCATTCTGCTGCAATAAAACACTTCAAGCACATCTCCGAGCAGTTTGGATGCTCTTGGTTCCTGGAGAGTGCACGGGGATCAGGGAATGCCAAAATGGTGTGGGGTGGAAGGGAGCCAATGGGAAAGGGTACAGGGAAAAGGGAAATGTCAGTGGAAGGGAGTGGCTGCCTTTGAGGGGAAGCTGAAACATTTCCTGTCCCCTCAGCAGCCCCTCTGACTGAATCCCCTCACCTTCTCTAGATCACATCCCAGAATGCCACAGCTGCTCCCTTCTGAGCACTTCCAGGCATGGGGACTCCAAACCTCCCTGGCCAGCCCCTTCCAAGGCTTGGCCTCTCTTTCAGTGGAGAAATATCCCCAATATCCACCCTGAGCTCCCCTGGCCCAGCCTGAGGCCGTTCCCTCTCCTCCTGTCCCTGTTCCCTGGAGAAATCCCAACCCCCCTGGCTATCCCCTCTTTTCAGGGAGTTGTGCAGAGCCAGAAATTCCCCCTGATCCTCCTTTTCCCCAGGCTGAACCCCTCCCCAGCTGCTCCTCACCCTGATCAGACTCTCCTTTGCGTGGCCCATCCCAAATAAGGGGTTCAGCTTTGATGTAACTCAGGGAACTCCTCCAATTTCTCTCGTGGATCACCCAACACTTGGCAGCAGAACCTTTGCTTAAGGATGTGGCCCTTAAAGAGTTGGGAACAATCCTTGGCTTTGTGTGGCTCCAGGGGGTTCAGGCTCCCTCAGAGATCCCTGCAGAGGTGGGGGTTGTGTTACAACCAGGAGTAAAACTCTTCCCAGCCAGCACAGAGCATTCTTTGTGTGAGAGTTCCCTCAGACTCAGGGCCTGGACGTTCTGTGCTGGCAGTCAGGTCTTTGGTCTCAGTCCAGTCGGAGGAGTGGCCAGACTGAACTCTGTTAATTAGTGACTCCAATCATTGGTTTGCAAAGCTCGAAGAAAAAGAAAGGAGGAACTAATGGCTCAAAAGGACAGCCCCTGCCTTTACCTGGTTGTTTTCTTGGCTCTGAGTGTCACAGGTACTGGTAATGGTGATGGTTTTAATGTTCTGAATTAGCTGTGCCAGGAGGCTGAAGCAAATCCCAGAATCATCCCAGAATCATCCCAGAATCCCAGACTGGTCTGGCTTGGGAGGGATCTTAAAGCTTGTCCAGTTTCACCCCCTGCCATGGCAGGGACACCTCCCACTGTCCCAGGCTGCTCCCAGCCCCAGTGTCCAGCCTGGCCTTGGGCACTGCCAGGGATCCAGGGACAGCCCCAGCTGCTCTGGGCACCCTGTGCCAGGGCCTGCCCACCCTGCCAGGGAGCAATTCCTTCCCAATACCCCAATATTCCATCCATCCCTGCCCTCTGGCAGTGGGAAGCTGCTCCCTGAGTCCTGCCTCTCCATGCTCTGGTAAATCATCTCTCTCCATCTTTCATGCAGCTCCCTTCAAAGTCTGGCTTTGCTATCCAAGCAGAGTCCACGGGGGCCAATCTTCTTTTTCTTCCCTCCTCCCTGAGCCTCTGGGTTGTGAGCACGAGGCAGAATCCTTCCACAGTCCCTCCCTGTGCCAGCCCAGAGCTCTGATGCCCGGATCTGGGTTGCTGTGGCTCCCTGGGGGGAGCTGGGCTCAGCGTGTCTGTGTGTCTGTCCCTGTCCCTGCAGGCTGCCAGGACCTGCACTGTCATCGGGGGCTCGGGCTTCCTGGGCCAGCACCTGGTGGAGCAGCTGCTGGCCAAGGGCTACAGCGTCAACGTCTTCGACATCCAGCAGAGGTTTGAGAGTGAGCAGGTGACCTTCTTCCTGGGGGACCTGTGTGACAAGGAGGTGAGGAAGGGCTGGGGCAGGTACCAGGCAAATGCAGGCCTTGCACTTTTTTCCTCTGAAGGAAACAGATCTGGAGTCTGTGCTCACAGATCAGTGCCTGCCTTGTGCTGAGAGTGGGAAAGAGCAGGGCTGGCTTGTGGCTGGTGCTTTGCATTACTGTTAGCTGGCACTCACAGGGTAATTACAGTCCCTGGGCTAATTGCAGGGGGCTCTCCCAGCCCTCCTCAGCTCTGTGAGAATGGCACAATCTGTATTCCCAACAGTCAGGGAGGGATGAGTGGGAGGTGACTTGGGGACAGTCACCTGCACTCAGCCAGCGCCATGGGGAACTTTAAACCTGCTGCTTCCTCAGTGTCCCAGCCCCAGGTAGTCCTGAGCCTTGTACCTGCTCCAGGGAATTGCAGGGAGCTCAGCCTCCAGCTCTGGGGAAGCTCCCAGGATTTCTCTGAGTAGAAGAGAGGATGTGCAGTGTGGTGGGGACGGGACATAGTGGGGATCCTGGATGCTAATCCCATTCCAGCTGCCCAACTTTATGAAGGGAACATGAAATGCTGCTGTTTCCATGAAAGAAAGCTGTTTCATTTCCCTGCTGTTATTTTTTCCTGGTTTTCCACCGTGGCTGTGGCTCCATTCCCATCTCCCCCCTGCTTTCCTGCAGGCTCTGCTGCCAGCCCTGCAAGGAGTGTCCGTGGTGTTCCACTGTGCATCACCAGCCCCTGCCAGTGACAACAGGGAGCTGTTCTACAAGGTGAATTTTATGGGAACCAAGGCAGTCATTGAAGCCTGCAAAGAAGCTGGAGTGCAGGTAAAGCTGGAAAAGCCCTGGAGACCGGGAGGGGCTGCTGGACTTTGTAACATGCCAGGTCTTTTGCATCACAGACCAGCGTCAGCCTCGCTTGAGAGGGGGACAAAGGGCTGTGAGATACTCAATTCCCACTTATTCCATCAAAACCAGTGGGAGAGAGGCTGTGTGGGTCTCCTGCTTAGTGTAAACTCCCTGTTTACCACAGAAAACCACACTGTGATGGGAAAACATCCATCAAAATCTCCTACCTGGGAGTCACCCTGGGAGAGCAACACCTCACAAGTGGCTCTTTTCCTGCTTTCTTAAGGGACAGCCCCAGAGATGGCTTTTCCAGCAGTGGGAATATTCATGGCACCTGTTCCCTCCATGAATTCCTCACCATGGAATGAGGAGGAACACACCTGTGCCATAATCTCAGTGTCATTTGCTTTAGAAAGTCGATTGCCCGCAAAAGGAAGAGCCTGAGGAAGCCAGCCTGGAATTGGAGACTGAATTTTCTCCTTAAATGACTTTGCTATCCCCTAAGTTTTCATTTAAAATAGTTTGTTTCATTTATTTTAAATTTATTTATTAGATTAATTTCATTTAAATCACCAAACAAAAACATCCGAGGTTTCTTTTTTGTTGTTTTTTAATCCACTGTGATCCAAGATGAGCAAATCTTTCTTTAAAACCCCTGGGTGTGTGTTAAGTGTTCCAAGCCTCTGATTTTCCTGGAGATGTTTCCCCTGGATTGACTGCCTTGGGTGTTTGTTGGAATGTTTTCATCTCCTTTAGTTAGAATTAAATGATGGGACAGAATGGATTAAAAAAGGAGAGTTCACTTACCTGCAATTTCTATTCATCTTCTGTTAGACTGGGGTTATTTTCTGTAGGATCAGTTGGTTAAATATTATTATTATCATTATTATCTTTACTCAGCCTTTGTAAATAATGACCTTT